CTTATATGAAACGTGAAAAAGTTCAATTATATATTTCACTTCGAGTTTTTTGTTTCTTTTTCACTTTCCGTAATGTTTAGTACACTTGATGATCCTATCAAAAGCCTTAAACGATTACAACTTTGGATTAACACGAAAACTCTTACAATTTTGATTTTTGAAGGAGTCATAAATGTAGCCATTGTTTTATATCAACAAATATATACAGCCTTTCTCATTTCCCTGAACGTAATTAAATCATCTTCTTTATTTCTACTAGTTAGGACTTAAGTTAACCATACGTTATTTTCAAAAATCTTACCAAAAACAATACCTGAACAGACATTTAACATAGCCAATGAGAATAGAAGAACATTTATTTATAGCTCATGGAAAGTCATTTCTTTCTTATTACACATTGTCAAATGACGTGGCTGTTGTTTGGATTCCACAACAGTTTTGGTTGGTATTATCATCATTATACTTTGCAGTGGCGTATATTTTTAGTGTTGTTTCTCATTAACGATTCTTCAATTTAATTGTGATTTAAAATAAAACAAGCCGATCTTCCAAACATGTATCGACCAGTCTATAATTATGAACAAAGAATTGAATCAACCTGAGTAATATAACATACAAAGTGTTTGGTGGTGTTTACTAATAAAAGAAATCTTAAAATCTTAAGTACTGAAATAGATGAAACCAATTAATTAAATAACATTCACCATTAATCTAATTCATAATAAACAAAAAGTCTGAACAACGCGTGCCGAAGAAGCTTATTTATTTTATTGAAAATGCTTATTTGTTGACAAATAGGTGAGAAGCTTATTTATTTTATTGAAAATGCTTATTTGTTGACAAATAGGTGGAAATGTGTAGACACCCAGTGAAGTTAACGAGAGAGTCATTGGTATTCTTAATGGACTAGACTTTCACTAAACAGAACTCATTTGCTACTGGTAATTCTAAGGCAAAAATGAGCAATCACTATTGAAAATCATATTTAATTCTTTACAGGTTCATGCCAATTACATGTTATTTGCAGTTTGTGTGACAGAGTTGTCAGTCATTTAATTTAAAACAAATTAACAACACAACGAACTATAAATATAAAAAAATACTACATCGAAAGACAAAAAGACACGTATCATTCAGTTATAACAAGTCAATAACGTATACATATAACGAAATATCATACTGGAATCAAGTTTAATACTGAAAAAAGTACTGAACCCTGGGATGTTAAGAAAATACAAAACAAGAACATTTCCTGATCTGACCAACAAAAATTACCATATCTGAGGCCTATATTATACTTGTTTCACACTGATTTCTCCATAGTAAACGAAGTTCATGAATAATGAAAAAAAAGGCCTTTTTACAGTTTATAAAACTTGGTTATTTGAATCTAATTTTTAACTAAGAAAATAATTTAAAGATTTTGTTAAACATAAGAATAATACACAACTGACGTTCGTAATGATTTTTTTAATCTTAAGAACTTGTTACTTGATTAAAAATCCTGAACACTGTATGAAAAAGGTATGTACAGTGACCGTTCAGCACACATTTAGAAAATTTCAACTTTTAGACTTTTTCACATTTTCAAAAGAAAAACGAACAACAACATATACACAATTTTAACTGCAACTTGTCGATAATTGCCAACAGTATATGCTGGGTTAGAGATATAATAAATGAACTTATTATGGGTTAGAGATATGCTTAATTTTACAGAAGACGAACTCACGTCTGTACATTAGGCCCGTTACACAAGAACTCAGCAGCCTGGAATTAATTTCTAATAAATCAGAAGATAGTCCCTTAACTAGTTAGTATTTTTCACATATAAATATCATCTATATATATAACTCATAGACTATTTTACATATCTCAGTTACAGCGACCAAATAATTGTTTAAATAGGAACTCTCTATCAAATAAGTTCATCCCCTCAAAATTTCACCATTTTCAATTAGATGTTTTAATGACATTATTTAAAAGCAGAAAACTTGTAAATCACTGCAATGTATAAAATCTTAATAATACATTAAAAAAGCTTAAAGTTATGATAAAACAGTTATCACTTTTTCTTTGAAAGCTTACTTTTCAATTTGCGAAATATACGTCTTCTGGCGCTAAAGACACCTACACCTAATATTCACATATCTACAATTACACACAGATGGTTTTAGACTACAAACAGACACATCGCTTAACAACTTTGACATTTCCAGTGGTTTAAGCTAGAAAACATTGTTATCTGCTGTTTAATTAATTACATGACTCATGAGACATTCCTTTTCCATAAGAAAACGTATGCATTACCATTCTCCTGGATATCACTTATTGTATTTTGTAACTGCACGTCTGAAATACATGAAATTACTGAACATAAATCTAAACATGAGAGCCTGGATTTTGTACTAGCTTGTAAACCACTTATCGCCAATATAGAATACTATAAAACAACTTGTATCTATAGATAATCTTCTCTGTCATGGTTTGAGCTATAAAACCATTTAAATTATTATAGGTAAAGCAAATTTAGCCAACAATATTTGGTTAGCGGAAGTAGTGAATATTTATATTTGAATAAATAGTATAGCTCAGGTTACATTATCTTGATGAAAACAACATACTCAAAACATGTGTTGGAATTCATAACTAAATATGGATAAATATATCAAATATGTATTTGCAAAATACGGAATTTTCACTTACAACTAAAACCATAAACTTCCAAAAGCAACATTATAACTGAGCAGAATATATACATGAAATAAAGAGATCTTCAAAGATTTCTACTTTAACTCACATTTTAGTTTCAGGTGTAATGAAAGTTGCCACCGCTCTCAGCATAAGTGTATTACCACTGACATTTCTTTCTCATTTAATTAGAATATGTTTCCTTCTTTTCACAGAAATTTGACCACAATGTAATATATGAATTCAAATTTGTAGATTTTACTTAAATGTAAACTAGAATAGTCACTACTATTTATCCTCAGACATAATAGTTTGAGTAGTTTGTGTACGTAATGAGTACCTTTAAATTCCTTTAAAAATGCGAGAGCAAGTTATAGTCACAAAGGTCAATTCCATGATTTAAATCTCACCATGAACTACTTTCTTTTCCATTGTTTAAAAATAGTACATTCTGACAACATTTCTATTATTTAATGTACTTCAATATTCCGTTATATTAACATCATGAGTTAAAGATTTTTTAAAGAAATGAGTCATGGCTTAGCGTTGTTTTTGCTTCATATGTTATTGTTTTCTTAGCGCAAGTGAACACAAGAGGCTATCTGCACTCTGTTCATCGCGGACAATTGAATCCCGGATTTTAGTGGTTTTAAGTCTATAAACTTATTACTGATTCATCAGAGGTACTCGTTACACATAATATTCCCTGATTGTAAAAATAACTTAGTTAACATTATACTTACTTTTAATGTTGGAATAATTTGAAAAACAATTTTACTAATCATATCAATTGTTTATCTATTTACTTTACAGTAGTAATACTTGAATGTAGAATCAAAAATGATATCAATCCGCAACTTTCAATTCATTTCTATCTAACTTAAAGTATAATTTGCTACTTCTTAACATTTTTTCTATCAACCTAGATGGCCAAATGAATGTTTCAATATAAACTGATAACGTGAACGTGGTTCAGTAATATGTAAATTTATAATACCGGAATTATTACTGGAACATATCATTTTTGATACGTAAGTGATTTCCTAGTGTGAAATAATTAAGCTACATTGTTTCTCAAACGGAATGTGTTCATTCCGGGTATCAGGTTGACAAAGGTTCTTTTTGGACAGACCAAACGAGCTTCTAGATAACTGTATGTAGCTCAACTATAGTACAACGCAACCAGTCATAAAATTAGAATAGTCGCTACATTTTATCCTCAAGTAAAATATTTTGAGTAGTTTGAATACACCTTAATTCAATACCAAGTACGTAATGACTACCTTTAGATTTCTACATTATAGAAGAATGGTTTTCAAAGCAACAATCATCATATTCTTCAACATATAAACAAATAAATAACTTATGAACGCACGGAATGTCTGGCCATATTTTGTGGAAAAGCTGTTCAACAACTCTTTTACAAATTAATCAAAAACTAAGTCACGCAATGTTTTATTTGAAAAAATACAAAAGAGACTATCATAGTAGCCACGAAGTGATTTTCAACAACAATTAAAGTGAATTGTAGTTTGTCACAACACAAGCATTCTTTGTATTATCTTCAACAACAGTTAAGAGAATTGTAGTTTATCACCATTCTTTGGCCCTTAATGATCGTTGTATTATATCACAAGGCAGCCTGCATTTACTATTTGATCTTCAACAACATGGATGATGGTCATTTTATTACAGGCCTCGACAAATATTTTCAGATCTATGAGCCAGTCCAAAAATTCAGGAGCCAGGTGTGCCTAACCTAACTTCACTACTGTTTGTGTCGGGAAATAGGGGGCTACATATATTTAATTACTTTCACGGCAATTACTGAATGCCAATGATAACATGATTTCAATAACCATTTGATAGTATTGCCTGAACTAACTGCCTTTGATTCCGTATGAGTCTAAACTTGCGCACTGATTGGTTGAATTGAGAGAAAAAATAAAAACAAAATGGCGCGAAATTAGTAGCGTTTGCAACCGCAGCACTTCACTCCTGAAAAAAAAAAAACATGAAAAAGTGCTGAATGCGCCATTAAAATTCTAGAAACAAAGTTCGATTTAGGACTCACAGAACGCGAAAATAGTTCCGGACTTCCAAGAGTCCAGAACTGTTATAGATTCGAGTTCTATTTAGCACAGAATAAAATATAATAAAATACTAGGTGTCACGATAAAAATTTGTTGTCATGGCGACCTGGTGCCAAGGATTTGTTGAGGCCTGTTTTATTATGTCATCTGTCAATCATTATTTACTGTATGATCTTCATAAATTATGAAATGTTGCGTTATGTTGCCAGAAGACAATGCTTTGAGGTCTAAAAAGGTAACCAGTTGGTTTACATAAGTTATATATTTTGTTTTCACCCCTGTGGAACTTTGTTATCTTCAAATGTTGGTGGCAACTTTCTGGACACTACCAGAAATACATTTGCTGGACAAGTGCAAAGATGATGACTCACATCTATATTCTGCAACAAACAATTGAGGAGCTGTTAGTTTTCAGCAAGAATATTTTAACATCAATTTTAGAATAAAATATATAACTATATATATACAGATGAATTCTATTTATAAAGATCTGTCTTTAACATCTGTTGATTTTTGATTACTTAGTATTTTGATGTTGGTAAAAAACAAACAAAAAAAGAGGAGCTACGTATTTTTATACCATAATATAGAACGGACAATGAAGATATTCCAATTTATTATATTGTATTTTCCCATTAATTGTAAGCACCTTATATATTCTAATCATTATAATACTCTAGAGTGAATAATTCCTGTCCAAATTCCTGTCAATATCTTATCTCCATATTCAATTAAAAATCTGCAACGAAAGTATTCCTAATTTGTCTTAAGCTATATAAAACATGCAAAAGATATGTATGATAAGTACATGTTATTACAGTGTTAACTATGAAAAAATATGGGTTTCTGCACTCAATTGCCACTCTGCGTGGTGAGAAATACGAAAACAACGTGTAGTACTTATATTCACATGTCATAATGTTGATAAAGTGTGAAAAGCAATGTATATTATGATAACCTCACAGCAACACGGAAATATTTTTTATTGACATTTTGCAAGTAAATAATGTTAAAGTTAGGTAAAGGAAATTTACTTATATCATGAACAGTTATATCGAAAGTTTATTAGAAAACACACAATTAACCACTTATATTTCGTGCACATCCCAAAAACTGTGGTCAGCTACTTATTCTTCCGTAAGCTTTCATTCTCAATATAGGCTAATCTAGTCTTTAGCATCTAATATTTGAAAAACAAAATATACATTTAAATTATTAAAACCAGCTCTAATGGTTAGAATAAAACAAACTGAGTTAATCGGCTTATATAAACACAGAACTACTGAAGTTGACTTAAAGTAGAATATTTTAAGCGCGTTTTAGTTACTAATAGACAAATGGATATAATTCAGGAGATGTACCTAAAGATACGGATAACCTTTGGGAGCAAAAACTTACATCAGAACTGATGTACTGTGGCACAGCCTGATGTAAAACAGGAATAATTAGCGCCCTGAGTGTGCGCTTTTCCACTTTCTTCCTCTTCTGCCGCCTGCTGTCAAAAAATATGCTGTGCTTTTATCTTGTGATTTTTATACTATTACACAAAAAGACAGGTGTAGTTTATAAATTTAGTTACTGCTGTGGTGATTTTTTCATCTACACATTCACTCTAATGCTGCAACAATTTGTTATAGGTAGCTACATAAACTAAGACTTAATTCAGTCAAATCAAGTAAAAACACATCCTTAAACTTGAAGAAATTTTTACAATTTTTATTATACGCATATATAAACAAGTGAGGGTTAAATATAGGTATATCGACAAATAAAAATCCAATGTATGCTTTTCTCAAACAGTGTTTACGTGAATTTTTCATTACTTTGTAAATGGCTTTTTGTTCTAAACTTATATCACAATATTAATCATGTCAACGTCAATGTTAAAATATGTACATAGTGATAACAGGATTCTTATTTTCTAGTTTTCAGATGTTTCAATGCTAAAGTTCATACAGACGCAGCCTTTAACCTCAATTTATCAAAATTCTAAATCATTATTGTAAATAGAATAAACTGTCTTATTCATTTTAGACGGGTAAATAAATAGATCTGAAAAATATGTTTTAGAATATTCACAAAAACGATTGAAATATATTTCAAGTAAAAAATCCAAATCGTATCCATTAAAATGACAAATACAGATAACTTGATTCATTTAAATTATCCAAATTTCTACACCAAGGCATACAACTCAAATTCATTCCAATTTTAGGAAGGACAAAGCACACAAAACCGATACCTTAAACAAATAAAGAACACGACACAAGTGATGACGGCGGTGATCGCAAACCCTAGACTGCCTGCAATGCTTGCTGTTTTCCTTATAATTTCTCGCTCTTTAATACCTAAAAAATAAAACAATATTAGAACTGAGTAAGACAAGACATTTGTTATTAACAATTTGATTAAAATCATAGAATGTAACGAAAAAAGTGATGTATAAACTACACTTTAATGAACTATAAATTAAATATACTAGAATATTGAAACTCATATATAATTTGAAAATATCATAGTAAATTGTGATATCATACTAAAATTATCTATATACAATAACGGATTTACACATGTACACCATTTATTTTAAATCAAGAAATAAGCAGATGTTAAAATGCAGTTCTGCTAGTTATGGATAAGCTCCTTTAGATACCATTGGGTTAACTTCCTGAAAGTCGTTGATGTGAGCATTTAAATTTTAAAACTATTAACACGTGGAAATCTGGGTACAGAATCTATATAATAATACTCAGATTTTGTCTGTCTTGAAAATGCGCGCTCACTTTATTTCAATGAATGTAAATATACTTCAGTAGACATTTTGTACAACAACATATTAAAGGCTTGTCAGTTTTGAAAAGGTCTAACTAAGTACGGTAAAGTTTAGCCCTAACTACATTGAAGCAAAGAAGTACACACGTTACAAGTGTTAATTTGTCTCTTTATTGAATATAGGTCGTACTTAATAAAGGCTTAACTAACATTAGGCCTAAGACAAGTGGACTTATAGATTTTGGTGTCTGCGATTAGAATTTTTTTCATGTATTTAAAAAAATTACTGTTGCAATAAAGATACTAATTTGACCACAAATTGTTTTGCGGATCTCATCTTGTCAGTAATGAATATATTAAGATAATATCTTGAAGATAGCTAAATACGACAGCCTACAAAATCATGCAAGGGTATTCAGATATTTTCTTGGAATTACATACGTTTGGAATGTTGGATATCTTCGTACAAATATGCATCGAATATCGTGTGAGCATATTCAGTAAGCCCTTGAAGAGATACGTGAGAATTTAAAGAATCACATATGAGAACATTAAAATAAAACACTTATATAAAAGCAGAGAATTGGGCATATCCGTATCAGTTCTTGCAGAATTATTTTCTCGTCTTCCACCTTTTTGACTTTGAGAGAAATGTTTAGTATTCTACCTCCTTTTCGTAACACCCTCATCACCTTAGTCTCTTTCATTTTTATTGTAAAATCTTTTGCTGCTTCGTTTTGTTTCGTTACTAAAAGTTGAAGCCTCTCCTTTGTGTTAGCTAGCGCTTCCTTATCATTTCAAATCTACAAGATCTCTTTATTTTTTTCTCCAATCATTATTCCTTCAGTCAGTTTTCCCCTGCTTCTTTTCCACTGCCTCTAGATAGACATTGAAATGTGTTGGTGAAAATATGTACCCATGTCTTATACCTCTTCCGATTATTACATCACCAGATTCGCCTTCAGATATTCTCACTGTTACTGCCTGATTCATGTACAAATCTGCAATCAGCTTTCAATTTTTTTTTCAGTCTCTCAGACCATTCTGAGTACATATCTATGTATAAACACCAGAATATGGGTAATGGTGCAAATTCTACATACACAGAATTTGGTATCTAGGTATAAACACCGAGATGAAGGTATTCAAATAATATTTTGAAGACACGCAGTTGTGTAAATACTAATAAACACTTGCAGAATTACAACTGAGGGCAGGAGAATAAATTTTGAAGGAAACGCCCAAAACAGAGAACTTGGTATAAGCCCCTATAAAGCCACATATAGGAGTATACACATAAGCAGTTGTAGACACTCACACACACTTATTATTCAAGTTTAAACTGTTGTTTCAGGCCTGGTGGTATTGGGATATACACTTGCAGACGCACAATGAATTGGGGCCCGGCATGGCCATGTGGTTAGGGCGCTCGACTCGCAATCAGAGGGTCGCGGGTTCGAATCCCAGTCCCACCAAAAATGCTCGCCCTTTCAGCCGTGTGGGCGTTATAATGTGTCGATCAATCCCACTATTCGTTGGTAAAAGAGTAGCCCAAGAGTTGGCGATGGGTGGTGATGACTAGCTGCCTTCCCTCTAATCTTACATTGCTAAATTAGGGACGGCTAGCGCGAAATTCAAAAACATACAAACAAACACAATGAATTATAATATCTTAGATATCTAGATACTAGCAGAAACGCCACCCTACGGGCGGTTGTTCGGTCAGGCTGTTGCCGAGCAATTTGATGTGCTTCTGTATTTCGGGTTTGTTCCTGGCTGCTTCTCACTGGTTCTTGCTTTATAGCATAGTGAGCAAGCCTATTTCTTTCTTGTTCTTTCGTTCTGTAACTTGCATCATGACGTTTCATTTTCTTTTTCAAAGTTTCAGACTTTCTCCGTGATAAGTCACGTTTCCGTTCAGCAATTTTTGGCATTGTGATTTTCGATGTTTTTGATCACTTTATACACATACTGAAGTAAATAAATAGTTGTGTAACGTATGAAGATCGAGTTACTACAAAATTCCTGCAAACTTGTATGCAACAAACTCCGTACGAAAGTCACAGAACAATTCAGTTCATAGCATTCGCTTGAATTTTCCAGCAGAAAAAGTCACTCTTCTTCTGAAATATCACAATTATTCTCCATTAGGAAGAGTCAATTTGAAATTCTGCATTAAACTCACTTTACCTCAATTTTAGAAGTTTTACTAAAACAATTAATTTCGTTGATAAAATAAATGTACAAAATTAATGTGTCATTTCTCCATTAAGGAAGCGATTTAGGAAAAAATGTTATAAAATAAGGCCCTATTATTCTTTTCATTTTAGCGAGAGTCTATTTTATAACTTTTTTTTTTGCTCCCCAGTGACACAGCGGTGTCTGCGGACTCACACCGCTAGAAACCAGGTTTCGATACCCGTGGTTGGCAGAGCACATATAGCCCATTGTGTAACTTTGTGTTTAATTCCAAAACAAACAAGCATTTTTTGGTGTGATATAAAATTGTTATTGACTTATTTCTTAAAAGTGGACACATGCACTAAACAAACTTTTTTTTATAAGAGTCCCAGTTGTAATGAAACTTTGTTAGGAACTTTTCCTTGTGGTGTTGAAAAATCGTGCGAAGCTTCATACAAATCGGATAGACGGACATTAACGTCTTATATAAATATAAATTAGTAATTTCAGAACTACTCTTAAGCGCATTCGGATAAGCTATCATGGGCATATATATATATATACAGCTACACAACCACAGAATCGGGTATACGGGAATTAAATCAGGTGAAACAGAAACATGCACATTCAGCGGATAATAGTATAAGCATCAAGTAGATAAGAAGTGAGTATGATCAGTGAAGCTGTTTTAAAAACTTGCAGTCAACTGTCCAAGTATAAGCACTTACAGAATCACATCTTCATGACGGTGTTGAGATATACACTTGCAGGTACACAATGGTTTAGGACATACGACCGATAAATAGCTACCATACATGCACAGACGCAGAGCGATTTTCATTATCATTACAAGTGTCAGTTCTTTGACATGTCAGCAATGGCTTACTTCCCTTCTCCCGTATGTTTAAACTTATCAAAATAAAATATTCTACTTACTATAGGACCCATCTAAGTCTTTGAATTCACATCTCTGTCCCATATAGCCATCTGCGCACCTGGAAGAAGTAAACTTAGGTTAAAGTGTTGTCAGTATCATAAATTGGAGAGTACAATTACTGAAGTTGGATACTTTACAGGAATATTTCACATAATAGCATTTTAAGCATACATATATATATATATATATATATATATATATTTTAATTAAAAAGGATTATTTTAGTCGAAACAACGTTGCTGTTCATCTTCAACAAGAACTTGGGCTTCACTTAACTTCATTTAAGAATAAAATTGAGAAATACTAGAAACGAGATATATAGAATTAAGTGGTAAAACTGGACAATGACATTACGGGATTTCTAATTCTTCAAAACTTCAATTTATTATGAGATTTTGTCATTTAATTAGACTAGGAATGTAGCCACCACCACCCCGATATACAATTAATTTACTCACTCGCAATTGTAAAGAATTGATTCCCCTATTTTCACAGAAAAACAGGTAGCTCCGTTAAGACAGTACCACTTAGCATAAGCCTCAGGACATGTGTACGTCTGGAAAGTGATGTTTGGTCTTGAAGTGGTAGGCAAGGGAGCTCTGGGCTTAGGCGTTGACCTGGACGAACAAGCCTCTGTGTGGAAAATAACAGCAAGTTTAAAATAGAAAATATTTGGTTAAACATTATAACATTTAATGAAATATTCTAGCTATTTTTCCTACGTAAGTAATCAATGTGCACTTTCAAAAACTTTACATTTCTCTGAATACATAGCGTTTGATGAATATTGTGTATAACATTTATATCAGGTAATCATTACAGAGTATTAACAAATACCATTGGAAGAGCATATTAGTCAAAAGTAATACGGAAAATAAAAATTGATTGACAAGATACACAAGAATCGATAAAGTACACACCAGGTTGCTAAAATGATTTTGTTAAATATCTTTTAGTTTAAAGCATCGCGCTGCACAGTAAGTTAAAGATAACAATTTAACATAATATAAATGTCGGTGAATATAAATATCTATATTGCCTTTTCCTTAACGAACGTCAATAGCAAGTATATACTGCTCACCATAAAACAAACCGGTGGGTGGTGATGACTAGCTGCCTTCTCTCTAGTCTTACACTGCTAAATTAGAGACGGCTAGCGCAGATAGCCCTCGTGTAGCTTTGCGCGAAGTTCAAAAGCAAACAAACAAACTACTAAAGAACGTCTTCTCCCACAAAAACAAATATGTTATTATAGCAAATTTTCGTTTGCAGAACCATAAATCCTACTATTATTTCGGGAAGATTCAGATACCTTACCTACTAAACGATACAACATCCACACATACCAGTGACACATATCACTCCAGTGATATACTAGACCTGTGTATGTGTTCACTAACATTAATAAGATTCAGACACTTACCTACTAAACGACACAACACTAACACGTACCAGTGACACATATCACTGTGTATGTGTTCACCAACATTAATAAACATTCAACGTAGGAGAAGATTCAAACAGCGACCATTTACCGATATGAAGTGTATTCAATCTCTCACCACACCAAAATCAAACAAAAGCAAATTAGAAGAAATATGAAGAGATATTAATAGAGCTTCTCCAACATGAACCCATCACAACAGCCACTAGCAGCCTGGATATAGACAGGTACTGTTCAGTAATCTCAGAGAGCCTCATAAAAACAGCTGACGGATGTATAACAAAAATATCAATAAACAATACGCAAACCAAATGGTAACTGAACACGGACATAATCAACAAAAGAACGAAGAAAATTAAGAAGAGGGTATATGACAACCTGTGACCCGCAAACAAAAACGCAAATAAATACGCTCAGAAACAAAATTAGAAACGACATTAAGCTACTAAAATAACAAAAATGGGACACCTTCTGTACACAAATATACTCAAAAACAGATCCCCAAGATTTCTGGTCCCATATAAAAAACAGCTACAAAATCAAAGAAAACAACTATCACTTAAACATAATAATAATAAACTAACATACACAAATAAACATAAAGCACGCGCCTTTAAAGAAGAACTTAAAAAAAAACTTTCAAAACACCAAACGACTCAAACATGAATAACCACTTCATAAGTATAGTAAATAATTATATCACAACCAATTGTAGTATATATATACACCACACTTCACTAAGGGCACTCAACACAATAACATAACAACAGAAGCGGAACACGACTACACAATAAAACAACATATCAGACCCATCACAGTAACAGAAGTACAAGAAAACATAAAACTTTTGAAAAATAAAGCACCAGGACCAGACAAAATTCGAAACATATTATCAAGGAAGGCCCTCTGAGATTATTAGAACATCTCACATCTTTATACAACTTATCTCTAAAAACATATACATACCAACCGCTTGGAAACAGGCCCATGTTCTTATGTTCCAGAAGGAAGGAAAATCAGTGAATAACCCTGAAAACTATAGGCCCATAAGTCTAACAAACAATCTAGGAAAATTACTTGAAAAAATCATAAATAGTAGATTCATAAGTTTCCTTGAAATCAAATCAATACTCCCGGAAATACAAAATGGGTTTCAAAAAGCAAGACATGGAACAGATCATCTCCTAGGATTAACGGAAGAAATAATACACGGCTTTGATAAAAGAAAATGTACACTCTCATGTTTCCTAGATGTTGAAAAAGCATTCAATAAAGTATGGCACAATAGACTCAGATACAAACTGTCCAAACTGGGACTCCCCATATACATTTCTCGTTGGGTTTCTACCTTTCTGGACGATAGGAGCATAAGAGTGGATGTTGAGGGCACCTACTCCGAGTGATGCACTCTGGAGGCGGATGTCCATCAAGTAGGAGTACTTAGCCCTACACTGTTTATGATGTATGTCAGAGACATGCCTTTCAAAGACCCAAACCACACTTTTTGCTCACAGTTCGCAAATGATGTTGCAGTCTGGAAGAGTGCCCCAAACCCAACAACGACAACATACAATATACAACCATTACTAAACGAAATAGAATTGTACTGCAATAAGTGAAGAATGAAAATATATACTCGCACAAATTACAAGACATATTATTTACAAAATCGTACAAAACAAGCAAATTAATACCACAGTTATATCTAGACGGGACTCTCTTACAGGTAGTAACATCAGCAAAATTCTTAGGGATGACATTTGACTCAAAATTAAACTGGATACCACACATTAATAGCATAAAAACAAGAATTTTGAAAAGAGCGAGTTACCTTAGGAGCCTGACTGGCAACAAACAAAAAGCTTCACCAGAAAACATATTAAATATTTACAGAACATACAAAGGATCAGTCATAGAATATACTTGTATAACACACATCAACAAACTACAGCAAATACAAAACTATATTTTAACGAAAGCATATAGAGTCCCATGATCAACTCATTATTTCTACACAACTATTCAAACATGTCAACATTATCAGACAGACTCCTGGATAACTCGCTTCAACATTATAAGAAAAATATTAATAAAAATGAACTGATGAGCAAACTAGAGAGTTACACAATACACGATGAACCAAGCCCTAAGTACCTCTCCCTTCTATACATCATAAATAAGAAACTTACAGGCCAAACAGTGCTAGGCTAACTGAATCCGAGACACAAACGTGTCTGAGATTTTTATTACTGACCTAATACGGATATCTGGGGATATTTTTTTCCCCGTGAGAATGGCAGATATTTTATACGTGTGTGTATATGACTGCTAAGTGGAACTGTATTGTGAACACGGACTAATAGTGCGATCATGCATAAGTGAAGCTAGTAAAAATATACGACTTAATATTACCCCATGAATTGGACATGGCACGTAAAGGGTATGGTAATTAAAAATGCGGACAGTGGACGAAATGTAACATACTGTGAGTAATGCAACCACAATATAACAAGAATTATTACCTGGGATTCAGTAACAGTGCAAACAAAATAACAATTCCAGAGAGGGAGGAAGAGGTCTATGCTGAACTTGACCCTCCCTGGTCCAAAACATGGACCGAATCCGATGAAGAAGAAATGAACGAACGTCAAAGTTCATAGGCCAGCCGTTTATTTTAAGACTATTGGAGTAATGATGTCTAGTCAAATTTGAAGAAATACTGCAAAACATCTTACAATTCAAACACAATTATATACCATTGTACACTACGAGGTTTGATTTCATTGCAGTAACTACAGATTTTTATTACTGACCTAATACGGATATCTGGGGATATTTTTTCCCCGTGAGAATGGCAGATATTTTATGTAAGTATTTGTAGTTTTCTCTTAAATTTTTCCTCACAAACTATGTGGTTAGTGCTTAAAAAACTAAGCTATGTAATTCTGATTATTCAAGAAATTTGATGATTGTTTAGTCAAATATTCTCTGGCCATTGGAAGCACAGCAAATGATTTAATTTTCATTTGAAACAGTCACTATATACCACTTAATTATTCAGATTTGAAAAGATTAAGTAAAAAAAAAAGGTAATCATTTGTGAAAACCTAGAATCTGAGATGCACCAAGTCATGTAGGTTTGTTTTGTGAGCGCTAAGTGTCTAAAAATACTAATCACACCTTCATAAATGCATTTTGTATTGATACACCCACATACCTTCAAAATTCAGACAACAAATAAAACATGTCTGCTCAGAAAATAATAAACATTTTCTTATGCTACATATCGCTTTTTTCAAAGTCATAGTGTAGTCCAAAGAATCTTCAAATCATACATTGATGACGATTACATGCGTACGTTTTTGTTCGAATTTCGTGTACAGTATGGAACCAATATCGAAAAAAAAGATGGTAAATATAAAAGTAAAAAGTTAGCTACAACAGTTGTCAAATTGGCGATATGTACTCTAAGCTCTACATGCACACCATTTTAAACACGCAGACGCTTTGATCCCCCCTAACCTCTAATACACACACATCCAATAAAACATAGTCTAAAACATTTACTCTTCTTGAATAGAATGTTTATTTAATGTTATAAAAATCATCTTAACTAACACAATTTTGCGGGGAGGGGGAGCAGTTATGTATTGGATTTTTAAAGGAAAATGTTTCTTTTCTGTCTTATTTTTAGTAAATAAGGTTTATCTTTAGTTCTCATCATACTTGGACAATGCATGCGTGAGGATCTCAAACCACCCTAGGTACGTGTAGCATTGAAGTTAGTCAACAGGAAAAATGTGTGAAGTTTTATAGTATGGTTTTTCTCTTTTGACAAAAAGATGAGGAGAGGAATAGACAGGTCGAAAACTCACCAATTGACTACCACGTGCCATATAGGGTACTCTCATCTGCCCATGGTTAGAGTATCTGACCAGTACGAAGAACTACCATCCGGTCTATTATGCTGCTTTACCGAAGTGTAGTAAACTTCCTCGAATCAAATAAATAACACTCACTGCAGCTGTCTGCAGTGGTCCATAATATGCTTGATTCAGAGCATAGGTAAAAGGCAGAAGTCAAATTATTACCTTGTGTAAAATAAAGTAACCAACTACGTCAGCTAGCGCCATCTGTCGAATAATGGCATGTTATTATATATGAGAGACAATCTCAGAATTGTACTAAA